AAAAAATCCTTAGGCCAATTTAGTTTACTTGAGCAAAACAAAAACAACTTGAAAATCAGACAACTCCCAAAGGTTCTGAGAACTCCAACCAATAGCTTGATCTGACAATATTTATAGAAAAACAGAGGTGCAAAATAGAAAAACAAACATGTAATTGGTTACAGCTTAACTAGTTAATTGTTTATATTTTAATTAGTTAATTGCCTACAGGGTTTCCTGCAACCACTAATCAATGCTGTTATTGTGACTCAATTCTATATTGGTTTGGTCCATGTTAATTATACAAAGAATTTTCGACAAAGCATTTCTTCCAAATTTAGAAAAATATCTGGCTACAAATAGATATAAAATATTTAAATATTACAGTTATCAAGCTTGATTGAATACATAGATATGTAACTATATATCATTTATATATGTATATAAGCTTATATGAATAGCATTATATATTATGCTGTATATACATATTATTATATATCACATTGAAGGTATATACACACATACAAATTTAAACTCAATACTCATTTTTATAGCTATGAAATATTTGCAAGAGGTTTAAGGTAGTATGTTAACAAAAACTCTCAAATTCTCAAATTTAGAAGTTGTGTATTAGAAAAATCAACAGAATTAAAAGACACATAAAGAATGGAGAAAATATCTGCAAACTATTCATCTGACAAGGGATTAATATCCAGAATGCATAAAGAACTCAAAAAGCTGAACACAAAAAATCCCAAATGAGCCAGTTAAAAAACAGGCTAAAGACCTTTATAAAGACCTAAAAAGAAGTGTTATAAATGGCTAACAAGTATATAAAAATGCTCAATATCATTAATATCAGAAAAATGCAAATCAAAATATAAGTTATCAGCACCCCCCATTAAAATGACTATAATTATAAAGATAAAAAATAACAAATGCTGGAGAGGATTTGGGAGATTCTCATACACTGTTGATGGGAATGTAAATTAGTATAGCTATCATGGAAGAGGGTAGGGGAAAGGAAATAAGGGGAAAGAAAGAAACATGAGAAAATGAAAAAATGGAAATAAAGTATTTGTAAATAGGGAAGGGAGGAGGGGGTGAAGGGAGGGCAGGGGTATGGGGGAAAAAATAAGAACCAAGACCTGTCATGTAAAGGTACAAGATCCCAATGACGAATGTAACTGTACTGTATACCTAAAATGTACCAATAAACTCAATGAAAAAAATAAAAGAATAAAAAAAAACACCTAAAACAGAACTACCATTTGATGCAGCAAATCCACTACTGTATATGTATGCAAGAGTGATGAAATCGTACCAATTAGATACTTGCTTACTCATGTTGATTGCAGCACTAGCACAATATCTAAAATGCAGCATTAACCTAGATGCTTGAACTGTATTGGTCAGCTTTCCCAAAATACCCAACACCCGCAATTTAAAGGAAGAAAATACTGTACATGCTTCCAGGTCACACCCCCCAGTGAACTATCACTTTCAAACATGCCTACCTAACTTCCAAACAGCACAATCAGATATCAATGCACCAATAGACTAACCCATTGATGAGTGTACTGCCCCTATTATCCAATCACCTTCCAAGGACAGGAGATTTTAGAGGGGCATTTTAGACCTAAACCATAACATTCTACTTCTAGCCCTCAAAAAATTCATATCCATCTCATTATGTAAAATATATTTAATCCATCTCTAAGTGTCAACAAGTCTTAACAGCTCCAACACTGCTAAAATGTCCAAGTCCAAAGTCTACTCTGAGACTCAAAGAAAATTCTTAACTGTGAGTCTTTTAACTGTAAAAATAAAAAAGAAAGTTAAATACTTCCATCAGAAAATGACATAAAGTAAACATTCCCATTCCAAAATGGAAAAATAAGGGGGTAGAAAGGAGTGGGACCAAAGCAAGAACAAAATGCCACAGCCAAACATTACATGTTGTAATTTCATGGCCAGAATGCAGGGCAGGTTATAGTGAAATATATACTCCAAAGGGCTTAGGCAGCCCTGCCCCTATGGCTTTGCCAGTTGCAACCTATATGGCTTCTCTCATGAGCTGGTTTGACTCACCTCCTGCAGCTTTCCTTAGCAGATATTTTATGTTCCTTGCATTTCCTAATTTCCTGTCTTCTATACTGTTCTTTGAACTTTACTCTCATATTTTACCAACTCCTCTCTCAGGGATACACCTCTTGGAGTCTCAGGCCTTCTTCTGAAATCTAGGTGGAAACATCCATGATCGCACAACTCTTATATTTTGCATCCTAAAATGCTAGCACCATGTGGATGATGTTAAGGTTTACCACTGGCTCCAACAATAGACTGCCAACCTTGGACCATGGCTTATTGACCTCAAAGTATCTGGATAGCTGATCTTGGGGAAATGATTCCCCAAGAGAACCAATTCCCTAGGCAGTGCCTGTTAAGCAGGGGGCACATTTGGGCCCGTCATAGGTATAGTCTTGCCAATTCCTGAGATACTTTAAACTACTTGAACTGCATTAAAACTGTGGTCCTTATGTAAAGTACTTGGCTTCTTTTTGTCTTTGTATTTTAGGTACCGGGGATTGAATTCAGGATCTTGCACTTGGAAGGCAGGCAGCGGCACCACTGAGCTGAACACTTGGCCCCTTGGGCTTCTTTTTAATGCGAATCTTTCTAGCAACCATGCCCTCCTTAGCCTCAACTTTGCAGATGCTTCCCTTCTGATGAGACTGCAAACTTCTCCGCTCTTTGTTCCTGATTCTCACCATAAATCTGGCTAAAAGGAGCCAACAGTGCGCATGCCACAGACTGATTACTGGGCTGCCTTGAAATTTCTTCCACCAGATCTGTTAGTCTCCTACCTTTAAATTTAGCCTCACACACCACCTTAGGATTTTGATAAAACAGAGAAAAAGTTTTTGCTAGAATGAAATATATATTGCCTCTAGTCCAGTTTCTAATTCAGTCCTCATTTCCATCTGAGACCTCATGAGCCTGGCATTTACTGTCTGAATTCCTATCAACATTCTGGTCATCTGAGCTCTGACCAGAATTGTTCAGCAGGCTCGGCTTATAGCATTCTAGGATTTCACTAGCCCACATCTCTCCAAACTTTCCCAAACCCCTCCAGCCAACCACTTCCAAACGTTTTTGAATCACATGGTCAGGTACTGTCACAGCAACAGCCCAACTCCTGGTACCAATTTTATATTTCTGTCAGCTTTATTACCACTGGGACAAAATACCTGACACCCACAATTTAAAGGAGAAGTTTATTTTAGCTCAGTTTCAGCGGATGCAGTCCATGGTCAGCTAGCTCCAATACAGAAACAGCATGGTGTAAGGAAAACTACTCTCATCATGACAGCCAAAAGGCAGAGAGAGAGGGAAGAAGCCAGGAATAAAAACACATATTTCCAGTTCATGCCCGCAGTGGTCTGCCTCTTTCAACCTAGCCCTGCCTCTGAACAGCACAGTCAGCTATGAACTAATCAATTGGACTAATCCACTGATAAGTATATTGTCCCCATGATCCAGTCACCTTCCAAATACATGAGATTTTGGGGAGAGGGGGCATTCTACATCTAAACCATAACAATGCTCATCGGTGGATAAAAAATGTGGCATATCAACAAAATGGAATATCATTCTGCCATAAAAAGCATGAAATCCTATCATTTGCAGAAACACAAACAGAACTAGAGCTTATTATGTTAAGTGAAATAACCCAAACACAGAAAAAGAAATGCCATGGGTTCTCAGTCATTTGTGAAAACTAATACGTCAATCTCATAGAAGAGGAGAATGGAATAGTTGTCACTAGAGACTGGGAAGGGCAGTATGGAGAGTGAGTGATACAAAGAAGTTCAATAAAACACACCAAAGTACAATTAGAGAGGAGAAATTCTAATTTTTCTACCGCACAGTAATGTAGCTATTGGTTAATACAATTTATGATATATTCCAAACTAGAAAAGAGTATGAAATTCCTAGCACATAAAAATGATCAATATTTAAAGAGATACAAGTGTTTATTATCCCAATCTTATTCTTACACATTGTATACATGTATCAGATTACTAGAATGTACCCTGAAAAAGGTTCAGATGTTACTCCTCAATAAAACGGAAGTTTATATTCCATAGTTTCTGACCCAAATAGTAAAAAACCAGAAATTGAAAGAAAAAAGAAATAGAATCATTAGGAAAACTCTAAAGTACTCTTCTAAATAACTTAGGGATATGAGCAAAATCAAAATTTAAATGACAGCATATTAAAACATGAAAATAACACTCTGGAAAAGTCATAAAAGAGTGTGACCATGTCTACTAATTGACCACAAAGGTAAAAAGTAGGATGACTTTGTGAGGCAATAGGGAAATTATTGAAATTTTATCTTCTTGCTTAGATGATGCTTTGAGATCCAATTTAGCAACCTTACACAGTTTCTGTTTAAGATTAAATGACTCAGAATAAGGAACAGCATCAGTCCGGACCTAGTTCAAAAGTGCTCAATGGCATCTCATGATCTTGAGCCATTCTCATCTTCTAGACCAGCCCCCAAAAAAGTCTTACCTTTCTTCCAAGGTTAGGAGAATAGAGGAATAAGGAATTCTGACTGTTCCTTCTTTGTCCACTGTGCCTATCATATAGAAAGTCCTTTACATTTCTAAGTGTCTGGTGATACTCAGTGAAGCCAGTTAACAAGCCAGTTAGATATAGTAGGGGAAGCCATTTACTGTATTTCACCATAATTCTTTATGTCAGCTGAAATATCTTTGAGAATATCTATATGTATTATGTAGAATAAATATGGAAAATTCCAAAGATGTACAAGGGTGAAGGGAATAGCTGCTGTGCTAAGAAGGATAAAATGCATCACTGAGACAGAGAAAGTGGGGTAGGTAAGGAAATACAGTAAGTATATTGAGCTTATAGAAAACACACTGATTCAATTCAGTAACACTGCCAGATATTGGAGAATAAGATATGAAACATTTCTTCAAGGAACTTACAGTTTGGTGGAGGCTCTCCTACAATGTTCATTAAAGCTTTTCTCCTCAGTGGTGTGAAAAAGAGCTGAAATCTAAAATGATCGAATGAAAAAAATATACAAGAAATCATTTAAAAGATAATAAAGCACCAATTCTACATTATTTTCAATGTCTATGACTTGATCATAATTATCTCCCTAATAATATGTAGCAGAGCTTGACAAACTATAGCCTGCTGCCTATGTTTATAAATAAAGATTTACTGGGATACAGTAATGTCTATTCATTTACCTAAGGCCCTCGGCTACTTCCCCCCAACAAAGGCAGAGTAAAGTATTTGCAACAGAAATAGCATGACCTACAAAGTCTGTAATATTCACTATCTTCCCTTTATAGGAAAAGATTGGCTTACTCTGATAGTTATTCAAATGTTCTCCAGGTCACTTGTCTCCTGAATCTTCTTTCTTTTGTCTGTAGGAAATGAATACGTTTGTTTTCACATGTGAAAAAGATCACCCTTATTCAAAAAATTCTTTATAATCCAAAAATTCTTTATAATGCAGGATAGAATATTTTCAACTCATCCAACAATAATATAACAGAATTATAATTATAGTTTATCACTTTTTATTTTACTCAGTTACTGGAAATAAAATTTTGCTTTTATACACAAATGATAAAATGTATTATACAATGTGATAACTTGCTTTTTTCCTGTTTTTAAAATGAAAGCTTTTTTCTTTAAATTTTGACAAACTGTCTCATAGAAGAAAGAATCACTTTGTGTTAAAGTGACTTGCTTTATTCTATTATTGCCAAGCAACCTCATTTTAAATCCAAAAGTTCTAACTTCTTTTAATAGAAATAGAGGCATTATCTGAGTTCCAAGAATTTATATTAAGGTCTTACAAAGTGTATTATGAATGTAGCCCACACAAACACTGAAACATAACTCTGCAACAGCTGCATTAGACCCAAGGCTGGTTTCAGTTACCATTTATACTTGAACATAGCAAATACCCAGCAGTGAAGAACTCTGAGAAAACTAAGCTATTAGTTGGCCTTGCATTAATCCTACAATGGTGTTTGCGATCATCAAAACACTGGAGCCACAGATATTTGATGTAAGCAAGATGGCAGAACTTTCTTTTTCCCTGCCAAGTATTACTTCATACATATTCTAACAATCATCATTCTACCGAGAACCAACAAGTTTGCTATATTTTGACATTTGAAAGGAGTTTGAGGACATCGATTTGCTTTTTGAACTAGATCATTGGAAGCTATTTCTGAGGCCCCCAAAGAAATAATTAGGCAAATGTCAGCTTCAAAAACCTGATAGAGTCATACTTAATATTCAGTCTTCTTCAGTATTGCCATTTAAACACATAACTCTCCTAATCCCTGACTTCTCTTCTAATGGTTTCTTCTAGTCACTGTTCATTGAGTGGTTTTAAGAGTGTTAGGTTGGTTACCTGTCACGAAGACTGAAATTGTCCAAAATCAGACACAAAGAAGCAGCCTGGACCAATAAAAAACTTAGAGAGATATGTATGCATTAACATAGCAGCACAATTTATAATAGCTAAAACTTGGAAACAGCCCATTTGCCCATCAGTTGGAGACTGGATAAAGAAGATGTGATTTTTTCTATAAAATGGAATACTACTCAGCAATAAAGAATGAGAAATTAGAGATATTCATAGGAAAATGGATATGTATTAAGGATATACTCCTAAGTGAGATAAATAAGTCACACATGTGTAAATACCAAATAGTTTCTCTGGTGTGAAAAACTATAATGGTACATAAGATCCTAATGATATATTTGGCAATGTGAAATAGGAAGAAAAGAGCTAAAGGTGTAGGGGAAATGCGAAGGGTAGGGGAAAAGTAATAAGGGAAAAGAAAAAAACACGAGAAAATGAAAAAATGGAAATAAAGTATTTGTAAATAGGGAAGGGAGAATAGGGTGAAGGGAGGGCAGGGATAAGGGGAAAAAATGAGAACCAAGACCTGTCATGTAAAGGTACAAGATCCCAATAATGAATGTAACTGTACTGTATACCTAAAATGTACCAATAAAATCAATGAGAAAAAAAAGATTTTGGAAAGTACATAAGAGGGATGTCTTCAGGTAAGAATCCAGTCTGGTTAGAGAAAGAAGCAAGAAAGATTGTTGCTAAACCTGAATACATTATATGTATAGACTTTACCTGAAGAGTTCACACAGTAGCAAGCTGCTTCTGGGCATAGCCAATCAGTAAAACCATAATTAGTACCTTTCCCATTATTGGATGTTATGGATGAAATTGTAACCCTACAAAATCTGTATGTTGAAGTCCTAACCTCCAGTACTTCCAATGTGATCTTATTTAGAAATAGGATCACTGCAGATGAGGTCCTCTGGAGTATAGTGGGCCCTATTTCAATATGAGCAGTGTCTTCATAAGAAGGAAGAATTTGCAAATACACACATACACACACACAGGGAGAATGCCATGTGGACATCAAGGTTAATAGGAAGGTAATGCAGAGGACAAAGATGGCCAGCAATGTACCAGAAGCTAGGCAAGAGGCATAGAACACATCATCACAGCCTCATAAGGAACCAACCCTGCCCTCTGCTCAACCATGGACGTCTAGTATCCAGAACTGTGAGACAATAACCTGCTACTAAATCACCCAATATTATATAATATAATATTATATTACTATATAATGCTATTATAGCAGCCCAAGCAGACCAACACAGTAGAGTCCACAAAAGATTTTCAGTCAACATCTACATATCCACAGCAGCACCACTGTAGGTCACAGGAGGTACCCAGTTCAGTCCATTTACAGATCACTCCAGAGCACTGATGGTGAGCCTTTTAGAGTTCTCAATGATATAAACGGCCTGCTGTAGCATGCATGCCATAAGTTCACCACCACTATACTAGAGAAACTTAGTTGCCTATATACAGACTAGTGTTCCTATATATGTGGCTACAGCTTACACATCCCTAAACTGAAGATTCAAAATCCCAAATCCTTCTGGTTTTGGATTTTGGAACATTTTACATTTCATACTGAGCATGCTCATCTAGAAGCCTATGCATTCTAAAATCGGAAAATCTCCAAAATCTGAATGAGTCTGGTCCCAGGAACTTCAGATACGGGATATTAACCTGTAGTTAGTTCACTTTCCCATTCCTCTGCTAATGTTGCTATTTTCCATTTGCAAATGCTTCACATCTAGTTTCCAAACTAAAATTCTTTAGTAAATAAAAAACAATGCATACATTATTTATCTCTCACCAGATTAGAATGAAATTAACATATGGAAAAAAGGTCACTAATTTTAAAATATAAGCAACCATAATACTCACTGAAGGCTTTTGTAAGTCAGGATATACATAATTACCTCTAGCATACGGCTTTACTTCTGTTTCATTATTTTTATTTTTCATTATTTTTCTCCTAATAAACAGTAAATACACAAAGACTCACTAAATTTCTGTTTGAAGACTTTTGCTTCAATAAACCAAAAATATCCTCAAATATGAATTATTCATATTCCCTTAAGAAGTAAAATTAAAATGATAAAAGAATTCTGACAAAAGGATAATAGTCAAAGTTGTGAGAGATAAGGATATGGAGACTCTGCTATGATCAAATTCATGAGATATGAATAAACTGACAAAGAATGTACAATACATACTGCTAAGATATAGCTAACGTTTTCTGTTCTGAGTGTGGTAAGTGCTTTAGTGACATCAATTATACCATTAGACAATCTTTGAAAGTAGGTGTTTTTTCCCTTTTTATAACTATAGCAAATGAGACACCAAGAAATTCTAAGAATTGCCCAGGGTCACCGAGTTAGTCATGGATGGGGCAGGAGGAACCCCCACGCAGCCTGACTACACAGTCCACACCTAAAGGAAGAACAGGAAACTGAAGCCACTTAATAAGCTTGAAGGTCAAAATGAGTTGAAGAGACTGATTCTTAATGTTCTTGGAACAATTACATTTTCTAATTGCAGGTCAAACTTATATGATTCATGTTACAATTCTGAGAAGAGTTGTTTGCCTTTTAAAGATGAAGACTCCCTCGCAGCAGAACCTGACACAGGGACTCTTATTAAAATGATTTGGATAAGAATGCTCCAGAGGCCAGTCATGCTGGAAGCAAGACATCACAGCGCAAAATCCCTGCAAGAGTGTGGGCTCAGAGGGACCAATGTCAGCCTGATGCAGCAGAGAGCTCTGGAGTATAAATGACACCTCAACAAGTATCAGGATTGGCACCCCAATGCCTGGCGCTCTTTCCTGGTGGTGCCAGGAACTATTCTTTGACCAAGGACAACTCTTTGGAGCAAGGGCAGCCAACATTCCCAGCAGGTAATGGAGGGAGCAGTTGTCTGATGGAGAAAGTAGGTGTATAGGCTAGTAACTAAGATCCGGTGGCACACCAACAGCATCCTCTAGGCTTAAAGAGGTTGTCCTGTTGGGTGTATAGGGGTACACTTATAATTCCAGCACTCTGGAAGGCTGAGTCAGAAAGATCAGTTTTGAGCCCATCCTGGGCAATGTAACAAGACTCTGTCGCAAAATAAATATAAAAAAAATTAAGAAGGGCTGGGCATGTAGCTTAATACAAAGACCTTGGGTTCAAACCGGGCATTGTGGCACACACCTATAATACCAGCACTCGGGAGGCTGAGGCAGGAGGATTGCTGTGAGTTTGAAACCAGCCTGAGCTACATAGTGAGTTCCAGGTCAGTCTCAACTACAGTGAGACCCTGTTTCAAAAAAAAAAAAAAAGTTTGAAACGCCTGAGCTACATAGTGAGTTCCAGGGCAGTCTCAACTACAGTGAGACCCTGTTTCAAAAAAAAAAAAACAGACCTTGGGTTCAATCCCCATTTAACAATTCCTCCTTCCCCTCATAAAAATTTCTGTCCTACAACCAGGTTCTTTTCAGAGGTAATTTTCCCAGTGTAGATTTGAGAGAATCCTCATTTTTTTCCCTAAATCTGTTCTTGTGTAGTAAGACCAAACCTTTATACATTTCCCTTTAAACACTGAGAAACAAACAGGTCTCTTCTAATAAACCAATACCAAAAATTGAAAGAGGATAGCTATCATTGATTTGTCAAGGAGTTCCTTCTACCTACTGGCATAAAGACTTGCCTCCCAGTTTTTCCTGTCTGTTATTAGACTTCTTTCTCAACTTTCCTTCTTCTTCCTCCTCTGTTATTTCTTCTCTTCATCTTCTGTACTGTTGCCCTTTCACTTCATCCAAATCTACACGTAGTCCAACATAGACTTCTATCTTCTGATATTGAATAGGGCCAACCTCAAAATAAATGATAACAAAGTTGGGGCAGCAGGTCAAGAGTCCCACTTCAAAAAGGCAGCCATGCTATGATCTATTGTATATATACTGGCCTTCCACATGAGCTACTATTTGAAGACAGGGCTCAATGACTTTAAAGTTTCAAAAATACCAGTCTGTACCATGGTTGCATCTACAGTGAGCTTCATCTGAGGAAACGGAATTCCTCTATAGACCAAGGATTCTTAGCCTAATACCATAGACTCCTTTTTTGTCTAGCAAATCCTATGCTCTCCTTCTCAGAATGATGTTTTTAATGTATAAAATAAAATACACAAGTTCACAAAGCTAATCAATTATATTAAAACTTATCAAAATATTAAAAATAAATCTGTGATATATTTAATACATAAAAAGGTCTAGATATCATTTCATTAAGTACCATAATTTCTAAGTGATGGACTAAATATTTCAATAATTAATAATAATTGTAATACAACTGGAACAATATAATGTTCCATTCATGATAAAGTTGCAGATCAATGACTAATATTACTATGGTTCATGGCCTATATTCGTAAGCAAAACAAACACTAAATTTCAGTCAGAGGATAATTAAAAGAAAGATATAAGTTCTTAAGGCCCCTTAATGGACTCAAATTTAAGAAGCCCCAACATAGGTAGGCAGGCGTCATACCAAGCATATAAGCTTTAAGTAGCTTCAACAAATACTCACACATACACACGATAGGAAAGACAAATTTATGCCATCTTCCGCCACATTAAATGCCATAAGCAGTGACTTCACTCCCAGGAAGCCCTAGTGGCCCCTTTCTTTTGGGGTGGGGTCCAAAGGTCATTTGATGGTCCTTGACAACAAGGACAGACACTAGAAGGATGCCCAGAATCTCCTTGAAAAGTACAAATAAGGCATTTGTGGGGCATTTGTACCTAAAAAGCCCCACAAATTTGGAATAGGACAGTTAGAGGGTAGAATATGACTTGCTGACACAATGTGAACTACATGGTTTGCAAGATGTTAATTGCAATTGGCACTTCTGAGGCTGGTGCGAGATGTGTTGTCCCCATCTCCAAAAAGCTGCCTCTGACCTGCTTTCTTCCTGACCAACCCCCAGAAAAAGGGAAAAAAAATCACTGAATTTTCTTCTAACTGTTTTACTGGCTTCTTTTAATTATTTTGAAGGATAATGTGTTTTTATAAAACTTGAAGTGGCAGTTCTCTTTAGAGCTCATACTTTATGTCAATGCACAATTATGGCCTAGATTGAATAAATTTGAGCTTGATTCATTTTTCTATTAATACAGTACTACTCCCTCATGAATATGCATAATTCCTCCATTCTGCTGTATTCGAAAGCTTCCCTCAGACAAAACATCTTAACATTTCCATTTGTTCATGGGAGAAATGAGTATAGTAAACTTCAAGCAGATGATGTAAATTTTTACCAAGCTTGAATTGCTTTTTATTGATTTTTGTGTAAATATATTTAATTCTCAAATGAAATTTAAGTAGAATCAGTCCCAGTCATTGAAAGCTATCTAACATGTCAAATTCTTTCTTTCCACTCCCATTCTATAAGATCTCTCTGCCCCAAGAAAAAGCATTGTTTATTCAATTTTTAGAAGCTTAAATGTTTTAAACTTCTAATTATTTGTTTAGTATTTACTAAGAGCCTGTATTTGGCAGGCAGTGAACTTGAAATGGAATGATAAATATGAACAGTTCCAATCCCCAAGGGTCTCATAACAAGAAGACAGGTAAACCTGAGCATATTGTAACCTGATTGTTTTGGAGGTACTGAGGGACTCACTATTAATCTGTCTAGGGATTAAGGAAAGACCACAAAAAGATAGTGGTTTTTGGATTGGATCCTGAGGGATGAGTAGGAGTTTTCCAGGCGGAGAAGCCTAGACAAAGATACTCCAGCTTCGAGATATAAAATGTTCAGAAAACAAGAGATTACAAGTTTGAAGAGTAAACCTAAATGTATTTGTCCATAAATCGGATAAGAAATATATGAAATACATATGATATACAGGAAAATAAATGCCCCTGTGAAGGAAAACAAAGTGTACAAAGAGGATATTTCAAGTTTATCTCATCTTTAGTCACTTACTTGGTGCTAGAACAAATGCCTGACACTAATACATTAAAGGAAGAGAAGTTTATTTTGGCTCACAGTTATATACCATGATTGTCTGGCTTCAGAGCAGAATGGCATGGCAGAGGAGCCTGGCTACTTTACTTCGTGGTATCCAAGAAGCAGAGAGTTAAGGTAGGAGCCCGGAAGGTCACAACCCCATATACCCCTTCTTCCAACCCAACCACACCACTTAACAGCAAGTCAGCTAATCATTTTCCAAACACGAGGCTTTGGGGGGCATTTAAAATCTAAACCATAATGTCTATAATGCTTTATGTTCACATAACAACTGGCAAAATGTTAATCATTAGCAATTGTGCTTTATATTGGTCTCTGTACTTTTGTACATCTCTGAAATTTTTCAAAAATAAATACCAAAAAAAGTATTAAAGGAATTTATTCTACTTAATCTATAATGGAGAAAGGTTTGGTACTCAAGTTCAAAGAAAGATGGAAAACATTTTTATGCATCCCTCATAAATTGCAGATCTATCAGGGTATCATGAATTTTAACTTAGTTTACCTCTAAACTGTTTGCCAGTACAATGTCTTTCCAAATGGTCAACCTCACAGTCCAGCTTCTACCTGATGACTCAAGAATACTGAAAATAAAATATAGAAAAAATAGATATCAGCACAAGTAAAATGATATTTTAGGGAAGAGTCATATTCTTTTAAATTGTTAATGAAGTGATTAATTTAGGATGATCAGATTCCACAAACAAAATTATAGGACAAGGCTTCAATGAAAATAGCTTAATTTCAATGTGCAATTGTCCTCAAATTCTTTTTAGAAAAAATAAGAGAAATGGAAAAACTAGAAACAAAGTTTTTGTAAATAGGGAAGGGTGGAGGGGGTGAAGGGAGGGCAGGGGAATGGGAAAAAAATAAGAACCAAGTTGTATCATGTAAAGATACAAGATCCCAATGATGAGTGTAACTATTGTACACCTAAAATGTACCAATAAAATTAATGGAAAATTTTTAAGAAATTCTTTGTGTATATATGTGTGGGGGGGTCTTCTACACCACTCTTTCAGTCAAAGTTTTTTGTTTTTTTGTTTTTTGTTTGTTTGTTTGTTTTTGGTTATGCTGGCAAGGCAGGCGGCAGTATTGCTGAGCTAAATCGCCAGCCCCTCAGTCAAAGATTTCTAATACCTTTCTCTACTACTTCCATCTTGTGCTAGAAAAAGTTATTATGACTCATGTACCTGAATTTTTTAAATAACATCTATGATACTTGTGTTCTTTTGACTTATAGTTTATTGTTTATCATGCAAATAAGAGTTTATCGTGACAACGATTCCAACATGATTAATGTTATTTGTTCTTCAAAGTATGACTTGGATACATATAATTATATTTCATTAAATTTCACTCATTTCTCAACTTTCATTGTCACTCTTCAGGTATCACGGCAGTTCTCAAGGCTCATTTCTGAGTAAAGCTTCTCTAAGTATATTCATTAGGTATGACTTCCATGGAAGTGTTTGTTAGCACACTTAAACAAAGTTTTAGGGAAGGGTGGAGGGGGTGAAGGGAGGGCAGGGGAATGGGAAAAAAATAAGAACCAAGTTGTATCATGTAAAGATACAAGATCCCAATGATGAGTGTAACTATTGTACACCTAAAATGTACCAATAAAATTAATGGAAAATTTTTAAGAAATTCTTTGTGTATATATGTGTGGGGGGGTCTTCTACACCACTCTTTCAGTCAAAGTTTTTTGTTTTTTTGTTTTTTGTTTGTTTGTTTGTTTTTGGTTATGCTGGCAATTGTATCATGTAAAGATACAAGATCCCAATGATGAGTGTAACTATTGTACACCTAAAATGTACCAATAAAATTAATGGAAAATTTTTAAGAAATTCTTTGTGTATATATGTGTGGGGGGGTCTTCTACACCACTCTTTCAGTCAAAGTTTTTTGTTTTTTTGTTTTTTGTTTGTTTGTTTGTTTTTGGTTATGCTGGCAAGGCAGGCGGCAGTATTGCTGAGCTAAATCGCCAGCCCCTCAGTCAAAGATTTCTAATACCTTTCTCTACTACTTCCATCTTGTGCTAGAAAAAGTTATTATGACTCATGTACCTGAATTTTTTAAATAACATCTATGATACTTGTGTTCTTTTGACTTATAGTTTATTGTTTATCATGCAAATAAGAGTTTATCGTGACAACGATTCCAACATGATTAATGTTATTTGTTCTTCAAAGTATGACTTGGATACATATAATTATATTTCATTAAATTTCACTCATTTCTCAACTTTCATTGTCACTCTTCAGGTATCACGGCAGTTCTCAAGGCTCATTTCTGAGTAAAGCTTCTCTAAGTATATTCATTAGGTATGACTTCCATGGAAGTGTTTGTTAGCACACTTGTAAAACAATGCTCTGGGCTGGGGACATAGCTCAGTGCTACAGCATGTGATTTACTGGTGGGCAGAGTGTATGGCAATGCTCATACAGTATTTCAAAACCAACTTCAATACAACTTTAATGTAATCCTTCAGACACTTTTGGAACATAGACCTTTATAACATATTCCACTTAGGGAAGAAATACCAAGAGAAATAACTTCTGTCTTCTCAAATTCCTGTTCTACGTGAGGAAATCAGCCTATAAATGAATATTTAGGGTGTTTTTGATGAGAACTATAGTGTAACCAAGGTTTGCACATGGCATAATGACAACACTGAGGGAACAATTAATTTGGCTTCACGTGGTAGTTCTTGAAGGATGAATTAGTAAGGTGCAAAGTACGGTAAACGACTAGATCTTATGAATGGAGAATTTGAAAGGTGAACTGACCAGCTATGTGTTTTGGAAAACACCAGCATTGAGGTCTGGCAGTAGTATAGATCCGGTCTGTTCCCTCGCTCTTTGAAGTAACACCAGTTAACACAAATGCCTCACACAGACTTGTCCAGTAGGCATTAGGGAATTGATTATGTTAAAGTATTTTGTGATGCCACCAGCACGGGTTGCATTCTCCTGGTGCCTCTTGGCTCTTAAAGACCTCATGCTCTTATCTTTAGTTTCCCTTCCCCACCAAGGCCACAGCTGTCTGGAGAGGTTAAACCTGTTTTTCCAGGACCAAACCCATAAAGGGCAACCTGGCCTGTGATAGGTTAAAGGTAGGCCACTCCTCATAAATAAGCAATAGCTCACCCCAAAAATGATAAAAGGATCTTCCTTTCTTTGTTCTCTTCTCTCCTGCTTCTTCTTCCTTTTCTCTCTCTCTCTCTCTCTCTCTCTCTCTCTCTCTGCTCTTTCTCTCTGCTCTCTCCCTCTACTCCCACCCCTGAATAAAATCTCCAGTTGGACCTCTCAGTGTGTGTGTGTGGCCTAGTTGTTAAGCGTCACTATTCCCTTTCAGTAGGGAGCAGATCATAACCTTCAACATCAAAGGAGAGTGCCAGAGAGGAAAGATGGAGCCATAAGGAATTAGAGGCTATTGTAGCACTAAATACAGTGATGAGAAAAATAGAAGAAAGCTTAGGGAGAAGAGAGTAAATGCAGACACCAAAGAAGTTGTATGGTGTAGCTTAACTCTGCTATGTAATACCTGGACTTCTATCAGTACTTATGTCTCTTTGCTTGAGGACTCTCTGGATGCTATAGACCCATACCCTGTACATCAGGCTGTACTTACTAGAGAAACAGACTTAATACAATATATACAAATACATAAATAAGAATAAATATAAATATATATAAGAATTTACAGTGGTCGCCCACAGAGTCAAGTGTGGAAGAGTGCAAAGGGCCTGCCTACATGCTGGAGATCCAAGGGATCCAGTTGAAGGCTTGGAGCTCACTGTAGTATCCCATGCAAGTCTGTATCAGGAGGCCAAAGGGTCTGCGATGGAAGTCCAAAGGGTCTATGCCAGAAGGCTGAAGACTCTGCACTAGAAACCAGGAGACAACACCCAAGATGAAGGTGAAGACAAGCTCCTCAAAGAACAAACAAACAAACAAACAAACAGAATCAAGCTTTCTCTCTTCCTTTCCTTTTTATACCATTCTGGCAACAAACCTTCCTAGGATGGGTCTTCCACACCCAGAACTATGTCGAGCCAATTTAGTTGGGCATTTCTTGCTCAAATTGACACAATCACTTAACTATCACACCCTGCCTATATACACAGTGGGCTAGAAGTGTCAGGGAATTGACATTCACTGAAGTAGAAGTAGTCTCCAACCAATAACTGGCAGTCATCAGTAGATAAATATTCAGCTCCCCTCCCTCATGGATGAGATCACACTAAAGTATGTGCTTTACTTCCACAACTGAACTAGGTTCTAATTGCCCAATGTGGGCATCTTTGATAGTACATCCTTTATTGGCTTCATTTTCTATCTTTTCTTATTTCCCACTCTCCTACTGGTGTTCCTAGGATTACTTTCCAAAGAAATGATTTGTAGTTGAATTCTCATCCCATAAGTTGATGTGAAAGAAAGTAGGAGTGAAGGAAAAAGTGGAAATGGAAAAGCAAAAGGTTTCAAAGTAAATATGAAAGAAAAAACAATAAAAGGCAAGAAAGAAAAAAAATCTGCTATGCCCTAGCAACAAAAGAATCCACCTACGGATCCCTTAAAGCAGAGGTTTTAACTTTGGCTGCATATCAAAATCATCTGAGGACATTAATAAAATCAAAACAAGCCAATTAGATCCAAACGCCATCCAGAAATTCTGATTTAACTGATCTAAGAGTTGGAGACATCTGATATTTTATTTTTAAAATTTCCCATGGGATTCAAATGTGCTGCCAGTTGAGAACCACTGCCTAGAAGGGACAATGGTAGTGTTCAAAAATTGCCAGAGACACAAAAATATAAATATACAGTTTGTCTTCTTTCTCTCCTGCCCTTCTAATCCTGGTTTTGTGCTGCTCTGATATTTGGTATTATTGTGCTCAGGAAAATAAATATAAATGTGTACTTATAAGAGAGAGTGGTTGAAAATGAATGGAAAAAGGAAAAAGAAAAATACAACTGGCTGAGTACTGAATAAATGTCCATATTACTCTTGAAAGCTCTGGAATTAGACTGTGCATGCTGACAAGGCAACCTCAAGGTGGTCTAGTTGATTTCAGATTTTAAACAGAATTTTTTAAAATAAGCATTTGATGCATATGATTTGCAAGAGTAATGAAGATCTGTGTCTAAGAGAAAACACACGGATGGCCAGACCTGGGTGTTCTTTTTCCCTAACGACAAATCCAATTGGTTAGAAATACTTATTTATTATCGCTATTGTCCTGATATGAGATTAAAATGCTTTCTGTTTTTGTTTTGTTTTGTTGAGACAGGGTCTCACTATGTAGTTCAGACTGGCCTTGTATTCACTGTATAGCCCAGGCTGGTCTCAAACTCACAGCGATCCTCCTGCCTCAGCTTCCCGAGTGCTGGGATTACAGCCATGCACCACCACGCCCGGTGCCTGATTCTATTTTTGAAAAAGTTTCTTCAGGTTTTTTAATTTAATTTTTAGCACAGTGGGAATTAAACTCAAGGAGCACTGAGCTACATCCCAGCTCTCCAGCCCTTTTGAAATTTTTTAGAATGGGTCTAATTTGCTCAGGTTGCACTACTATATGTGACTTTGGGCATGTCTGTCTGTCTCTCTCTCTCTCTCTCTCTCTCTCTCTCTCTCTCTCTCTCTCTCTCTTGTACTGAGAATTGAACTCAGATCCTTCATACACACTTATTTATTTATTTTTGGTTTGATACAGCATCTTGCTAAGTTGCCCAGGCTGGGCTCCAACTTATGATCCTCCTGCCTCAACCTTCTAAGGTGCTGGAATTACAGGTGTGTGCTACCATACCTAGTTTGGAAAAGCTTTTTAAGGAAAACCATAACACTGGTCAATGTTTTTTTGAAAACTGGGTTAGCAGGGAGTCCCAAGATAGGAACAGATTCAATATCAGTCCTAATAATTAACATTGAGTGAGCCCAGCGTTCTTATTTTAATGAATGAGACATAAATGAACATTTGCAGCACACGCAACTCTCCTGTTTATCTCCTTAATAAGGAAAAACATTAGGGACACATGTCACATATTAGCAACCTTTCCTGCAGAAGGAATATACATGGTATTTAGACCCAGAGGAAAAGTGAAGTTAAGTCTCACTCTTCGTTTATTCTTCATTTGTATCATTAAATTACCATTTTAAAAACATTTGGTAGTGGAATAGAAACAATTGAACTTTGAAGCTAACTACCCCTTAGTTAAGGGAGAAGATTAAGGCTAGGACAAATCGTGAAAACTGTGAAGTCTGTCAGTCATGGAGACCCAGGACACATATGCAGAACACAGGACCCAGGGTGACTGCAGTTCCTGAGCCTTGTACATGGAACCAACCAGAGTGTGCTACCTTCAATTCTTCATTTATATCAGGCAAGAAAACCAAGCCTTCCATGAAAGCAAAACTTCTTTAGGACAGTTTAAATCTGACACTAGGCCAGGTGAATTTCTGGTAGAACAGTCCCAAATACCTTATTTGTATGAAGCACTCTAAGAATTACAGATACAAAAAGAGCCCTGCCATTATGCTGGTGGCCACTAGGAGCCTTTTCACCAGCCTGCTGTCATTCTGCAGAGTGTACTTCTTTTCCACCATCAGTATTCTGTAAATTCTAACTACCTTTTCTAAATGTCCAGTTCTTTGTTCTGGATGCCAAGAACCTGGAAAGAATTTATTTGGGACTCCCAAAAGCCGGTCACACTTGAATATGAATCTTAGGCTACTAGGTGTGTGTTACCATGTCTACTTCATTGGGTTATTACCTGGATTAAATGAGACAGAGAAACACAGAGAAAGTGCCTGATGCATAGCAATTACTCAATAAATTAACAGCAGGCATACTAGTACCAGTACTAACAATAGCACTAATATTACTTTATAACTTTTCTGAACCTCATGTTCTTCATCTATAAAGTGAGAAAAAGTAAGACCCATGAAAGAGTTCTGAGAATAAATTTACAAATAACTTACTTAAAATCCATGCACCAGTGTCTGGCTCAATGTAGACATTCAATTAATGCAGAAACTATGGCTCCTGGCTTGTTTTTAAATATTTTATTAACATGTAGTAATCATACATACTAATGGGTTCAGTGTGATATTTTATACATGTATACAGCATGCACTCATCAAATCCAATAACCCTTTTCTCCACCGCCTTCCTCACCCCAGCAATATCTTTCCCAGTCTCTAGTAATCACTATTCTACTTCAGGTCAACTTGTATTTTAACTTTCACATATGACAGAGAACATGTGTTACTTGTCTTTTTGTGTTCAGCTCATAAAAATGACCTCCATTTCTACCAATTTTGCTGCAAATTATAGGATTCTGTCTTTGGGGCTGAATAATACTCCACAGTGTGCATATACCACATTCTCTTTGTCTACTGATTTGTTAGTGAACATCTCATCTCATTCTATATCTTAGCTGTTGTAAATACTGCTACAATAAACATGGACCTACATGTATCTCTTTGGCTTCGTTTACTTTGGATGTATACTCAGAAGTGGGGTAGCTGGATCATTTGGTCGTTCTATTTCTAGGGTTTCTTTTCATTAGATATGCTACTTTATTTTAAGAGAATAAGGATATATAATCTATGAAAATAAAATAAATAGAAATTTAACTGTAGTAATCAATACATTTTCATACATATGAAGAAAGGAAATCTCAAGCATATTAGGTAAGATAATACAGTTGGTGTCTATTAAATCTATTTTTCTTTTTTCAGGAACCTCCATACTGTTCTCCAAAACGACCATACTAATTTACATTCCCACTCTTGATGAATAAGAGTTCCTCTTACTTCACATCTTCACCAGCATTTGTTACTTTTTTCTTTAGTTTTTTAAACAATAGCTATTTTAACAGGGTGAGATAAAAACTCACTGTAGTTTTGATTTGCATTTCTCTGATAGCTAATTATACTGAGCATTTTTTATATACATTTGTATTTCTTCTGAGAAGTGTCTATTCAGCTCATTTGCCCACTTTTTTATTGTATTACTAGTTTTGTGGTATTTTTAGCTCCTTATATATTCTAGATGTTAATCCACTGTCAGATAAATAGTTGGTAAATATTTTCTCCCATTCTGTAGGTTGCCGCATCATTGTATTGATTGCTTCCTTTGCTGTGAATACCTTTATAATTTCATACGGTCACACTTGTCAACTTTTGCTTTTGTTTCCTGTGCTTTTGGGGTCCTATCCAGAAAGTCACCGATTATAGCAATGTCTTGAAGAGTTTCCCCTGTTTTCTTCTTGTAGTTTCAGAGTTTCAGGTCTTACATTTAGGTCTTTGATTGGCAATGAGTTGATTTTTTGTATGGGGTGAGAGATAGGGTCAAATTTTAACCTTCTGTATGAGACATCTGGTTTTCCAAGCACCACTTGTTGAAGTTATCCTTTCTCCAATGTATTTTTTGGTGCCTTTGTCAAGAATTAGTGCAAATGGAGCCTGGGATTTAACTCAGCGGCACCACACCTGCCTCCTAAGTGCAAGGTCCTGAGTTCAAGCCCGAGTACCAAAAAAAAAGAATTAGTGCATATGTAGGTTTCTGAGGTCCCTGTTCCATGGGACTATGTGCATGCTTTTATTATTGGATTTTCTTGACTAAGACTTCATGACCTTCCCTCACTGATTCTTGTGCAATTTCACTGGAAATTTCTTAAAAAATCTCTGCAGTCAACTCATCTTCTGTCTACCATGGGGTATACAACATGCAATTAGAAATTTCTATTACTTTTTTAAGACAGCAGTTAAGGGGGAAAACTGAAGGGTTTGGTCCTCACTCTAAGTTCTTTTTACATAATTCTTTTGGCATTCTTTGTTCCACTGGTAGTCTTTAACTTCTACCAACATCCTTTTAGTCATTGT